TTTCCAACTTTTTGGGGTTTACTAAACCCTAAACCCTGAACCCTAAACCCTAACCATTCTATTCTAACCATTAAGGCCCCTACGTTAGGGTTCTTTCTTCAAGGGTTCGGTTCAGGGGTTTCTGTCAGGCTGGGAGATGAAGGTTGTCAGGTGCCTTCTTCGTCAGACCGCCGGAAGGATCCCAAAAAGTAGATCCCTTAAAGGGGGGTTCCTGTAAGGGCTGTTAAAAAGGGAGGGATCTATAGAAATTATAGAGGATTTATAGGGGATTGTAGGGGGTTGGGGAGTAGATCCCTTAAGGGGGGGTTCCTATAGAAGTTCTCTTTAGAAGTTAAGGTCCCAAATTACGGGATCTACTTTCTAGATCCTTCCGGCGGTCTGCGTTGTGGTGTAATCCAATGAAGAGCTTGCTTTTCGAAACCTCTCGACGCGGCCGCAGGCTAGCTCCTATACTTGCCCCGTACAGCGGGCCAGAATTTGTTCGACTGTGGCATCGGTAGACTCGGTGGTGGTGCCTTCATGCTGGACTGTTTAGCTCCTGTAAGGGTGGCTTGCCTTACGCAGCTGCCGGGTTTCATGGCGTCCTCTGCTTCAGATCACGGTGGGTCCCTTTACCGAGTCAACTTACATGAGAAAGTTGTGGAGTCATGCTGCATGCGCTTGCATTCGAAATCGTAGAGCTGTGGCTGTGGTTGCATCTCGGTCCGCAGGTGGCCTGCGCAAGGCGCGCAGATGATGCCTGGTCAGATGGTGCCCGGGCAAGTCATGATGCCAGGACAAATGATGATGCCCGGGCAAGTCATGATGCCGGGGCAAATGATGATGCCTGGGCAGATGATGCCTGCCGCGCAGATGCTGCCCGGGCAGATGATGCCAGGGGCGCAGATGATGCCGGGCCAGATGATGCCTGGAGCACAGAGCCTCAGCTCAACGCAGAGAGGGCAAAAAGACAGCAAAGAGAGAGGGAGACAGAGGGAGACATGAGATAATACAGGATGCAGCGATCAACAGTACAGAGGCAGACACAGAGAGGGGTAATGGCAGAAAAACGGGGAAGAGGGAACGGGGATGCGAGATGGACGTGGAGCGGGACTTTAGGGACAGGACTATGCGAACTCGACGCCATTAGCTGCAAGCGATTAACACTAACCGTTTGTGTTCTTGTCGGCACCATACAAGCTGAAGCTGCTGGATGCCTCCTGCTTATGCCGAACCTGGTTCCATCACGCAGAAGGATGGATCTCTAAATGCCGAGTCACCGTAAGTGTGCTTCCAGCTAGTCTTCAAGTTCCACCTGGTGCCCCACAGCATCTGCACTACTGTTCAAGTTGCTTCTCTTAGTTGCAGGGTCACGAAGACAAGGCTGCCATGTTGCTTGCTCAATCCACGAGGATTGGTCATCGTAGGATTAGAACAGCGCGAGTCGGGTTCTGGCATCTTCCCAGAGAACCCAGTACCCCTCAATTGAGGAATTTACCTTAAATCATAACATCAAGGCCCCTATAGCTTGAGGTCTATTCCTTGTTTAAGGTGTATTGGGTTCTTTGGGCTGATGCTTAGGGGTCACAGGAACTCAGGTGTCTAGTCACTGTGCAGGGGTGAACCCAGACCCCCAAAAGGTTCCTATAAAGTACCCTTTAGTAGTTCGGGTCCCAAATTAGGGGATGTACTTTCTAGATCCTCCCGGGGGTCTGTGGAATGTATTCAGTATCGGGTTTTAGAGCTGCCCCACGAGCCGCAGCAGCAAGCAGACTTCCATAGGTTTTTGTTGGTGTGCGTGGAGTTGTGGAGTCCCTTGTCTTGTTTTGTCAGCCTAAACCCCGTAACCCCTGAACCCTAAACCCCAAAACCCCTGAAAGCCTAAACCCCAAACCCCGTAACCCCTGAACCCAAAACCGCGAAACCCCTAAACCCCAAAACCCCTCAAACCCTAAACCCCAAAACCCCTGAAACCCTAAACCCCGAAACCCCTGAAACCCTAAACCCTAAGCCCAAAACCCCCCCTAAACCGACCCTAAGGATGGCTCCCATGGGGCACATGATGGCGCCCGGCGGCATGCAGACGACGCCTCAAGGAGGGGCCATGGCCAATGCCGGACCCCCGGGTTGAGGGGTGTCGAGTTGCAGGAAGTAAGGACACGGTTGATGACATAAATCCTGCATTATGATAAGGAATATACCATAATTCCCATAGTTTAGGGTCCTTAAGGTAATGCAGGATTAATATCATCAGCAGAAGGACCCGAACATGGACCTAAACTTTCGGATCGGCCCGAAACTAATTGTTGTAGTAGCTGTAGTGCCGTAATTCAAGGAGTAGCGTTACATTGCTACAGACCAGAATATTGCTACAAATCAAATCGACGGTACTACTTGTGTTGACGGTGCTTCGAAAAGCTTGGGGCTGCTGCTCAAAGCATACGAATTGAATATAAAAGCGGGAAAACTTTCTGGTCTTAGCTCTGGAAACTTGCACTTACCCTGCTGGTGACGCGACAATCGACACCACAGCTGCCGGCGGCACGTCCTCGTGCGGACGACAGTCACTAGAAAGACTACGGTGGGAGACTGCGAGCTCAACAAGTCGCAGGTGCTCCTGGCATGTGTTGAATCGAGCTATGCGGTGGCTTGACGCTTTCAGCAGTATCGTGAGCAAATTTGCAGCAAAAAACACCTGTTGCCGCGGAGTCTCAAGCCATCAAGTCCGCATTCCGGTTTCCCGTGAAGATCGTTGCCATGGCCATGCCTAGCGCATGTGTGGAGTGCATCGCACTCACTTGGCTCTGGCATCTTCTCACCCGACCGAGTGAACCTATCAAAGATCAGCGGCCAAGTTCTTTGCAGGCAACTTCCGCTGGCAGTATCAGCTCGCGGGACAGGCAGGTGGACCACCCAAGACCTGAACCGAGTCAACCCGTCCGAGAGCAAAGGCCGGGCTCTGTCAGCGAGCGACAGAGGAAGATCGACCACTCACGATCTCATGGGCCAATCCAAGGTTTCCGGGTACAACGGCCAGACGACATGAAAGCACTTTCTGCAACCTCGTTCGTGTTGAACGGCACTACTGTTCGAAACAACAAGGCTCCGTTTGAGTATGGCTTCGTGCTGGGCAGCACTCGCTCACATCGAATGTACCATGCTGGACTGCTGTTCAAGAGTGAATTTGAGGTGGGCACCGTGAAGTACAGGTTCGCCTTCGCCGATCGAGTTCACGATGGCATTGAGATATACTTCTCCAACAATGAGGAGTCGGTAGATGAGATGTTCAAGCGGTTTCGGTGTATCCACGATGGGCAAGCTGATCCGTTCACCGACTGTGTGGTTAAATCCTGGCACCAATCCTGGACCCCTGCAGCAAAGTTGCACGATTTCATTTGCACCGAGCTGGCACGCAAGTTTGAGATATTTGGCTTCAAGTGCCGGGAGGACTTGGCAAACAAGCAAAAGCTGACAAACTGCATTGCGTTCACATGCCGCGGAGGGGCGGTAATGGCACGTGATGGAGAGTGCTTTCTCGCCGACTCGTCTGCGCTAGTGGCTCAGATTTGCGATCGTCGCTTGTAATTATGAGGCACGACATCAGGACAACCTCAATAAGAACCACGGTGTTTGTCGATCGTGTTCCTGTTCTTATTTTCAAATTCGGGGCTAGTGGATGGTACCCGTGCTCCGCTCGATGCAAGCCCATGCCGTCCCTTTGCAGGACAGTTCCGAAAGGGGTTTGTCCCACAAGCGGTTTACCCTTGCGCGTTGTTCCAAATGGAAAACAAGTCCTCAGAGTTTGCTGCAAGCCTCTCTGTATTCGGTCGCACAGCACTGTACTCATAACACTGTTCAGGCCCCAGGTCCTAAGCCCCCAAACTCGTGGCTCGAAGACTATTGGTCTCCGGGACAAAGCATGGAGGGACTGCGCACTAAAGGTTGTCTGGTCTGGCGGTTGGCTACGTACCCTGACGCCAAAACAACCGAAGACCTTGACCGCAAGTCTTCCCCAGCCAGGTACAGCAACGGCCACGACTGCAACCTCTGCAGTATGCATCCGGTTCTACTAGTTCACCGCATGGGTCTGTCGGAATACTGGCTGAGGATTGCGGCACACTGGTTTCTGGGGTGCTTTGCTGCTTGGTGTTTGTTCGTGCTGGAATCCTGATAGGGCCGATGACAGAACAAGGCCGCAGAAGTGTTTGGCCAGGCTCCTTCAGAGCACAGCAGAGTAGTCGCATTTAGTAAACTCACGGCAGACGATCTGAAGACCTGACCGCAGGCGAGACGTCATGACTTCACGAGACGCTACTACCGACAAAGCTGTCAAACCTCTCAAGCCATACCGTAAGCCTCGTTTGTTGTTTCTGTTTTCTAGTTGGCGTGTGTTTGGGAAGTAGCATAAGTACAGTGTCCGACTTGGGATGCTCGTACCATGGGTAGTCCATGGGGGCTCCTATAAAGAGCCTTCAGTAGTAGAGGGTCCCAAATTAGGGGTTGTATACTTATAGAATTACTTATAATCCCAATGAAGGTACTTGTAACTGTACTTACTAAGTCCCATGAACCCCCAAGCAAACCCAAAACCCTTAAACTATAGTTACCTTACTTTTAGCTGTAGCTACTAAGTCCCCCGACCCTCCAAGTACGGGGGACAACTGGAGGCTGGGACTCAGCTACCCTCTGATCTGAACAAGCTCTCAGACAAGGCAACGCCCCGAGGGCTGTTTGGGGTTTTCGGGTTTAGGGTTTAGGATCCTGCGGTTTCGGGGTTTAGGGTTTATCGGGTTTATAGGGTCTAGGTTTTATAGGGTTTATAGGCTTTAGGTTTAGGGAGGGCTTTTCGGGTGCTCAGTAATCTACACAAGGTACAGTCATCATCTATCACTTTAACCCTACGCTGCCCGCGCCGGAGACCAGCACTGTGACGGAACTCATCGACTGTGAAAGAACAAAGCAGACGCAGAGAGGGCAGAGCCTCGAAATCCTGTACAGATCCTGTATTGGGATTGCCCACCTCCACCCCGATACTCATCCTCCTGGTATGCTTCCTGGATGACATCTCACAGAAGTTTGACGTGTGCGGTGTAGAACTTGGGATTTACGACTTGAGCTTGGTGTGCAGGGTTTCGGCCTTGAGATTGAGGTTTAGGGCTTTCAGTTTTGAGGGGTTTAGGGTTTAGGGTTTAAAAGTTTATGGTTTTGATCACAAGACGCTCATTTCGGAACCCCCTAATCAAACCCCTACACCGGAACCAGGAGATGCGGCAGCGACTGGAGGAAAGCCGCTTGATGCAAACAGGGGAGCCTCCTGTTCAGGGTTTGGGCTTGCCTGCAGCAGTTTCCCAGACCCCCGGGAGGATCTAGAAAGCAGATGTACTTTTTAGGAACCCCCTTAAGGGATCTACTTTTTGGATCCTCCCGGGGGTCTGGGTTACAGCGCACCGAGTGTTTGGCATTGAGGTTATTTCTCTAATGTTGGGTCCCCCCACCCTTATAAAAAAAAGTCGGTATTTCCCTTATTATGATCCCTTTTCTAGGTCCCCAGTATAGTACGGCACCCTTATAAAAAAAAGGACCCCTAAAAAGGGACCCTGATTTTGAGAACTACCCATATTCAGGCCCCTATAGTTTAAGGTATATTCCTTGTTTGAGGTGTATTGGAGTCTCTGGAGGGTGCATGCTAGGATATATTTAGGGTGCTTGAGCTTAGGAGCGCCTAGCGTTTAGAGTTCAGGGCTTCAGAGTTTCAGGGTTTAAGGGGTCTACTTGAATGATCAAGGGACGTGAGGGTTTAGGGTTTGGGGATTTAGGGTTTAGGGTCTAGGGTCGATATTGCCCAGACTCTCCGGGAGGATCTAAAAAGTAGATCCCCTAATTTGGGGAGGGGGGAGGGGGGGGTTAAAGGGATCTAAAAAAAGGGATTATCGGGATTTATAAGGGTGCAGGGATTATCGGGTTTTATAAGGGTGTGGGGTGTAGGACCTAGAAAGTAGATCCCCCAATTTGGGGCCTATTGGAACCCCCTTTAAGGGCTATACCTTTTTGGATCCTCCCGGGGGTCTGGGTGAATGATCGGGCGACGTGGCAAGCCTGAAAAAGCTTAGATGGTCTCACAGGGCTTGAAGGGGGCTGTACTTGGAGGGTCGGGGGGACTTAGTAAGTAATTAATTTAATAGACTTAATTAGGGGTCACGGGGGTTGTAGGAGTGTAAACAGGGCTACAAGCTAGCTATACGTTGGACTTCAACTAGGACAACCGCGCGAACGGTGCTTATAAATCCAATAACCTCACTCCCTTTACCTTCAAGTAGCTGTTTAAATCTCAGCCTTTGAATGCGCTGAGCGGTTCATTCTTATGGTTAGGCTGAGAGTTAAAGCTTTCTTGTTTCCTTGCAGATGCTTTGGGAAACCATGTGGGGTGTCACAGGCTCCTTCATGTGTAGTTGGGGTCTAAGGATGCCCATATAGAGGTGTGTCTGAGGGAAGACACCGGCCAACCTCCGAAACAGATAATGTACGGGCGTTAAATGGCCGTCGGGAGCATATTTCAGGGATACTGTCGTTCATGATTCACATCTCTACAGTATCCCTTGACATCTGGACCCAAAACCTCTTACCGACCGGCGGCGCGCAGAAGACCGTGAAGCGCATCATCTCTGATGCAAACGATGGGGCACACCGCATCCCAGACCCCCGGGAGGATCCAAAAAGTAGATCCCTCAAGGGGGTTCCTATAAAGTACCCTTTAGTAGTTAGGGTCTCAAATCAGGGGATCTCCTTCCGGGAGTCTGGGATATAGCGGTGATGTGCTCTGAGGCAAGCCGGAGGCGATGTCATCGCCAGGACATCGCATCCTACATGGGAGTTTCCGAAAATAAGGGGTACCTTATGTTGGGGGTCCTGATAATAAGGATCCTACGATTTCAGGTACTATCTTAGGGGGTGCCCTATTTTCGAAAAACCCCAACATCACTGAAGTGCACCACAAGGTGGTCGAGCACATGGTTGATGGCTCTCCAGACCCCCGGGAAGATCATCTAAAAGATGCCGTAATTTGGGACCCTAGCTACTAAAGGGTACTGAGTACTTTTTAGGAACCCCCTTTAGGGATCTACTTTTTGGATCCTCGCTTAAGGGGTCTGGGTCAGTAGAAGGACATCCCGCCGATCCGTTGGAGATGTACACACGAGAGAGGATCCCTGTGGTCTGTGCGTTCCCGCGCCACCTGCTTGGAGGCCCTAAAGCCCCAAAGATTGAGTTGAAAAACGGCTCCGGATCAACATGTCGGAAGGTGTAGCCATGCTTTCCGATGAGCAGCTCGACGAAGAGCTGAAGAGTGCAGGAGCAGGGTTTAGGGTTTAGGGTTTCGGGTTTAGGGAGACTCCCCTTAAATTAAGGGAATTACACCTTAAATTATATAAGGGAACCCTAATAAATTTAAGGTATATTCCTCAATGAAGGAATATTGGAGTCTCTGGGTGGGGGCCGGAAGAATGCGACTAAGGTTTTTGCGCATATACCAGTATGTAACTCAGGGGCTTTGCAGGGTCAGGGTATTTCGAAATATTTAGGCGTCAGTCCTATATTTGGGTGGTCATCGTAAGGGCTTTGTTTATTTAAAGAATCCGAGGCTCTATTTTGCTAGAAAAGTGTGAAGTGTCAGTTTTCTGACAGGGTTTAGGGGTTTAAGGTCTTAGCAGTTTAGCGGTTTCGGGTTTAAAGTTTTTTATTTTTTTAATAAAGCAGTGTTCTGCTGTTGTCAATGTGTAGTTCCGGGCTAGAACGCATTGTTTAAAGTTCCATTGTCTACGAATTGGCAGCGCCACAACAAAAGTGCTTCCGCACGGAACCTTAACCCCGACAGCTTTGGCGCAGAGCCCCCCACAGTTGTCACGGGACTCGACGCTTTGTCACATGTGTTTCGGGTTTGCCATGGCTTGTCCTGGCGGTGAAGTGTCCTGTCGGGTTTAGGGTCGCTGCTGCATGTTCCCAGACCCCTGAGAGGATCCAAAAAGCAGATGCCTTTATAGGGGGTTCCTATAAAAGTACCCTTTAGTAGTATAGGGTCCCAAATTAGGGGATCTACTTTCTAGATCCTCCCGGAAGTCTGGCTGTTAGGTGTCACCTGGCATTTTGAGTTGCCAACACCCTGGGGAAACTACCTTCCTTTGTTTTCGAGAAGCAGAGGCTGCTCCCTGACCGAACTCAGTAAGCTTAACCAAAAAGAGCTAGCAGCAAGTGGCTTAAGGTAGCAGCTGTCACTAGCTCTCAGCCCTATACTACCTATACCCTCAAAGCCATGAACCCGAAGTGTTCCTTTTTGGATCCTTCCCTAAACCCTAGGAGCCCTACTCCTAAACGTTCTAATCAGTTGAGTCCGATTGGGGGTCTGGTTTGAGATACTTCGTCGCCAGGAATCCAAGTGCCTGCGGACGCCACCCGAGCAGAGAAGGCTGCAACAGTTGAGGGATTAGGATACTTAATATGTTGAGCTTTAGTTTTTTTGTTTTGTTTTTGTTGGGGGGGGGGGGGTGCTTTAGGCTTAAGGCCTAAACCTTAAACCCTTATTACCCTAAACC